ATCTTACTTGGTCTGCTTCTCGTGACGAATTTGACCGTCCGGTCACGGATTGCGCCTCAGCCAAAAGACGCGGGCATCATGGCTTATCTCCGGCCTTTTACATCGCTCTCGTTTGTGCTTACCTCGTTGGCGGGATTCTTCTACTCCATGGGAATGTTTGTACCCATTACGTTCATGGTAACCTATGGTGCACATGTTGGCCTGTCAAATAATATGGCGGGGTATCTAGTCTCAATCTATAATGCATCAAGGTGAGTCTCATCCGCAGTCATGGTATTGGCTTCACAAATGTTCAACCACGATATTGACGGCAACAGTGGAATCGGGCGTATTCTTCCGGGGTACATAGCAGACAAGGTTGGCAGCTTCAACGTGTCAATAGCAGCTGCAGCTCTCTCAACGATATTCATGCTAGCATTATGGCTGCCAGGACATAGCCATGAGTCGGCTATAGCTTTTGCTGCCTTGTTTGGCTTTAGTTCAGGCACATACACAGCCATCAGCCCTGCCTTAATAGCGCACATTTCGGAGCTTGAAGAGATAGGCACCCGTTCTGGGACCATGTACGCGTTTATGTCTGTCGCCGCCCTCACTGGTAGTCCGATCGGTGGGGCTTTGATATCGAGCGCAGGCGGGAGCTATTGGAAGCTCCAAGTGTTCGCTGGCTGTATGCTTGCTGCTGGGACCGCGTGCTATATCGCTGCCAGATTGTACCTTACTAGAGGCAGGCTGTGGGAGAAGATATGATACCTCCCCTGCTATAGTATGACGCCGATATGTAGCAAGTAGAGGGGGGGGTCAAGAGGCTATCGCCGGTGCCCTTTGTCACCACCAGACCACCAAAACAAATGTTAATACAACCATTCAGATAGATATAGGATTTCGATTTTGTGATCCTTACAAGAGATCAAAATGCAAGGAGTAGAGTGGGCACCAAAAGATGCGATTGGCCATAATATACAGAGAAAGGCTGCAGCTCGAGATAGTAATGGAAATGATATCTTGATCCTTTGTGTTGCACAACCAAGTGTATTCAAGACTATCATTTTATTGTCGTTGTTATACTCGACTTCTTTTCCATCCAAATGTCGAACCAGTCAATAAAGCTTTTGAAGCTCGCCTCCTTAGCCCACTTCTCATAGGGGTCAGTCAAACGGGCTCGCGACTTGGCCATGATGTCAGTATACGGGCAGTCTCTCACTCATAAAAAGATCTTACCGCAAAGCCATGTCCAACGTTGGCAAAGACTTGCATGTTGAACTGCTTGTTGTTTTCTGTCAGAATCTCGATAGTCCTGCTTCTCTGCTCTGGCTGGAAAAGCTTATCTGTGCTGGGCACTGAGAAGAAGATAGGCTCTGATAACGGTCAGCTTGTCTTTGTTGAAATGGATTTCTTACTTACCTTGGACGTAAAAGACGTCGCTTTCTTTCAGGAATGAAGGATGGGCAATGGCGCCAACTTTACAAATCCCATCTGCGGACAGTTGTTGACAAACGAAGCGTGCACCCCAACTGGTACATATTGAGTCAGTCAAATGGAGGCTCATACGAAGGTAGACTCATACCAGTAGCCAACGCAAACAAACTTGACGTCCTCGCCTGTGCCGTACTGCGACTTCACGGCCTTAACCCATCTGACAGCTGCCTCCTCAGACGCCTTGAGGTGTTTGTTCTTCCAAGACTCAAAGTCAAAGTTTGGGTCCCTCAACGGTGTCAAGGAGTGTTTCGTGACAGGGTCCTACAGGGGTTAGCTTGATGCACCCCGCCAAGTAAGGTTCCATCCTTACACCAAGGAAGTAATCAACACCAAGAGTGAGGTACCCGCACTCGGCGAAAGCATCCATCATAAGGAAACTATTGGTATGCAGCCCGAAGGAATCTGGAAAGAAGAGAAGAATGTTTCCATTGGATCTGTCGGGATGAGGTTTGGCTACATAAGTGTCGATACCGTCAATCTGGATTGTAGAACCTGTAGCCTCTCCGGAATGAAACGATCCCTTGAGACAGCAGAGGTCTGCAGGTTTGGCGAGTACGTTATCCATGGCCGTTGGTGCTATTCACTGTTTTCTTGTCTGGAATGAGTCTATTTTGGTCGTCAGATATAGTTTAGTTGTTGCCGGGATCATCGGGAAGTGCTCCCCGGCAAGTTGATGACTTATTACTCATGACGTGGTGTTGCGGGGCAAGTCCAAGTGAACGACGCCTGGTTACTAAAGGTAGTCCACGTTTACAGGAATACAACACGTTCGTTTCTTGTGGCATGCAACTAAAACGTTGTTCTTACAGAATGAGGTCAGCCTCGCCTTTCCGAGGCGTCCTCATTTCCTCCTTGTCATCCACGCCGATCTCACCCGGTTAGTTAAATGTATCACTTGGCCGACAGGGACAAGCTCCAAATCACAGACAGGGTTCAATTACTGCTAGCATGAGATAGGAAGTAGAACTAGTACAACCGCTTCAAGATCTGCCTAGGTTCCTAGCCTTGATCTTCGACAACCCCTTCGTCCCGAAAAGGCAAATGCAAAGCTGTCCACGTACAGTGACGTACTAAACAGACGTTATTCTCATACCCCAGTCCAGCCACCAAATCGCAATTGCATTATCATCCCCGCTGTTGCGAATTAGCCAGCTATGCCTCAAGAGGAGGTGTGATTAGACTTACCATAATGATCCTTCGCACACATTGATCAACATAAGCTAACTAGCTTGGCGGCGACTGCTGGCTAGTCTTTCAGAGATTGTTCTCTTGCATCGTGCTTCGTATTCCATGTGACGGAGTCCGCCATCGACATGCCAAAGTCAAGAAACCTCTGGCGGATATCTTTCGGACTCTTACTCCTCGTCGCGCTTTCGCTTCTCGCCATGTGGCTCCGAAGGCACCGACTGATTCGAGTTGACAAGGTCAGGAGGAGAAGAGTACTCCGGGCCGGCCAGCTCAGCCCGGATGCGCTCTGCAAAGGTCGAGTACGGTTCAAAAGGTACGACTACGTAGTTGACAGTCGGAAAGACGAAGTCTTCGATGGTGCGGGTAGGGCAATCCAGACTTTCGAGGAGCTGGCGCGGAATGTCCGCCTTGTAGACGTACGCATTGGTAACATCGGCCAGGTTCGTGACGAGGAGGCGTGCCTGGAGAATACCAAGTTAGTGAATATGTCAGGTATAGCGGGGACGGAAAAGTTGTTTACCAGGAACGGTCCCTTCGGAGCAGCGAGAGCATGGCGTTTCTGGAGTTGAGCCAAGCTCATCAGGAGACAAACCAAGTATGGGTCATGTCGCCAGTCCGTCGGGGTCACTTTGCGATATTTGATGTCACAGATGTTCTGAGCAGGTTTGTTGATGCGCCCATTCGGCGCCCGATTTGCGACAAGCTTGTCCCGGCGCTCCTTGTCGGTAGTGTACGTATAGTACCCAATAATAGGATTGGCATGCGGCATGGAAATCTCTTCCTTGATGCAGTAGATGTGGACGTGGGAATTGTACAGGCGAACGATACGTTGGCCATAGTGAAAGGTGAGCCAATAGCTACACAGATTAATTAGACTTTTGCAGTTGTGTTCAGAATGGGCTTGACCTACTCGGTATATTCGATGGGGGTGGGCTCGTTATCACAGAGAAGGGTGTCGACGTTGTGGCCCTTCCTTTCCGCGAACTTGTCGCGAGCGAGGGCCAAAGCCCACTCCGCCATGTCTTCGGCTTGTTCGGTGTCAAGAATCACAGGCTCATCTGCATTCTCGCTTTCGACCTGCTGGAAGCTGCACTTTACGACGGAAAGATGGTGTGAAGTCCAGAATCGTGGGTGTGTAGCAAAGTCGGGATGCTCAACACTAAGGCTGTGAAAGGATTTGACAGTTGACTGAGGCATGGTCGTGTCGATGATGGCTTGGTGTCTGGTGGTGGTCTTGCTTTTCGTCGGGGGCCAAGGGAATTGGAAGAGGGTTGGAGAAGAAGAAGAAGGGGTTGTTGAGGGATAGAGGGATAGAGTGCATAGAAGAAATCTCAGGATGACGATGTAGGTAGCAGCAGCACGGCCAGGCTGCTCGAATCACAATGGCAGTCTACTTGGGCGTGACGCGTTGTTTACCTCAACTCAACTTATAGCAGTCGATGCAAGGCAGCAGTAGCTAAGCATATCTAACCAGACTAATGCGCTGGGACTCACTGTGGCTTCCCAATCCGCATATGTGCAGGGCAGTGTCAACTACTGAAAACCACTACCCATCAAGCTCGAGCAGGGCACTCAACTTGTTCAAAGCTACGAGCCCACAAAAGATTGCCTCTCGAGCTTCCTTTCCACTGTAATCGATGTTTGACTGCTCCAGAAATCAAAGGCATTATGTTCGTCACTTTCGTGTTTACATCGCTAGTGATGGATATTTAACATTCCAAGTCAAAGGAATTATATTTGTCACGTAAGTAGCTTCTGCGAATAAAAAGACTATCATCTGCTGATCCTTACTATCAAGGTTGTGTTCCAAATTATTTAGTGTTCTGTAGCCCGTCACCTGAACTGAACACTCATCTTTCCACCCACTGAGGCCTATCTTGACACCAGATCAACACAAAAGGATGCCAAATAATGAGCATCGTGAATCTTTGTTTCTTATTGTTTTCCCACTTTATGCGAGGTAATCAGAACGAACAGATACTGTTGTATACTGCTCCGCTTTGTTCAGGTGCTTTAGTGAACGTTATGTTCTAATCGTGGGGAGTTATTGTTGTTTGCCTCCGTTGGCGAAGTGTCTTTCCCTTTACTCCCTAGTATTATCACACTCTATCCCAATCAGGGCATCAAACCTCAATCTTTGTTCAATCTCAGGTAATCGACAGCTGGCTAAAAAGATTAGTAACTGTCAAAACATCAAGAATCCTCGACTCCAAGTCATGGCGAGTGCCACGCATGCAAGGCTGTATTTAATACGGGAACAGATTTTATAGTGGCTAGATTTCTCTCAAGTATTCATCATGTTCACTGCTCTAGCCTAACTGAAGTTCGGGAGTCAATCATAGGTCAGGCAAAGGCAACGGATCCTTTTCTTCCCCTTCCATTTGTCCCATGTACTCCGCCAGTTGTAGTACATTCTTAACAATGCACTTTCTTCCAGTTGGGCTCTCCAAATTGAACCAACGTGTCGTTGTGACTTTGATGGCGTTATCTGGGATTCTCCCATGCCCAAGATCCTCGAGATGGTCCGCCGTGATGTTAAAGTGAAAGAAGCACATGTAATGCTGAGTCGCGTTGATCAGGAAGATGTCATCGGACCCTTTATCCCCTTGCATACTTGATCGTGCGGCAATGGCCTCGCAAGCCATCTGCCCGAGTTGCTCATCGGGCACAGATGGACGGTCGGTCTTGTCACACACATTGAGTCGTCTTTTCGCCTCTATCAAGACGACCGACTTTCCAGTCTTTTCCCCTCCATTCTTTATCAGAGTCAATCCCCCGTCATCAATTGCCGTGATGCGTTTGTTCGTTATCTGGATAGACCACCTCTCGGGCTGGCGGATCTCAACGGGAGTGTCTAAGCTGGGGTCTTGAGTGTACAGGAGGATATGATTGATGGCGGCGAAAGCCAGTTCGACGGTGTATAACTCAACCGGAAGCTGCGTCGCAGGTCTCTGTGCAGGAGTATATGAACTTGTTGAAGTACTGAAAGAAGAGTTCGGGCTGTCCTCGTGGCCCTGACTTGAGCTTGCGATAAGCTCGGAGTTCACGTAACCTGCATGGGTTGTCTGTGTTCTCACCCGCCCAGAGGTACGCTGCTTAGATTCCTGTTTTTCCTCGTCGCTCTTAAGTTTTTTGACGTCCCTCAGCGCTGCCCAGAATCGAGCCAAACTCGCACCCACTTCTGGTTCTCGTACAAGGGCGTGTTGCCGCATATTCTCATGTTTTGGGGCCAGGTCTTGGATGAATGCTGCTATATGTGTATTCCCTTTACCCCGTTCAAACGTTTTTCGTATGGTACGATCGTAACTTTTCAATAGCGGGAGACAGTCGCCGACTTTACTGTTCACGACAACATGGCACGCCTTCAGATGCTCGCCGCCCCATCTACTACCAGACGATACCGTTAGCTCCAATAATTTTTGTGCCCCTTTCGCATTCTCCTTGTACTTCTGTTCATCTGTTGTCGTATCAAAATAATAAGATGACATGTCTAAGTCGGCATATGGTTGTCGACAAGGTGTTTACATCGAAGGGATAGGAATTCTAAACGTACAATGATCAAGCTGTCTAGAGGGCGCGGTACGGTGGTATTTATGCTCAGCTTAAACTGCTTGATTGACCTCGATGCTTGCATTTGGCTTGTTTGTACGATTTGCAATCATGATTTCTGCTCGCATTCTTCGTTTGCTTTACTCTTTTGCGATGTTGGTGCAAAACATCTGAGCAAGTAAACATGACAACATCACGAAATCAGTTTTGTAACAATCACAATAAAGTTCAAAACGCAATAAACGTCGTCGGTTTGGGCAATTCAAGTGTTTGGTTTAGATGTGTGCCACAAGCAACACGTATTTGGTCGCAAGTATGTTGATTGAGCATCAATCCAACCCACATATAGGTTTACCTGCAGTAGCGGAGCCTCATTTACTGAATTGGCGCCCGACACTCAACCAACGTCGGCACGATCGACGGCGGGCCATATCGTGGTCGAATACTGGGTGTGAGACGCTTGATTCAAGTCTCAGCTGTCAGGTCTGTCAACTATGATATCACCCTCGGAAACACTTGCGTGACAAGAGGCCTAAGCATTTTCTGGAGAGATATAGTATCGTGAGTTTGCATGAATAGGAAGGGACAATTAAAGATAAAGATAAACATTGTCATCATTCGCCCTTTCAAGCTTTTTCATGAACCAGATTCACACATGTTGACCTGTACTGTTCAGTGTCATACTGCGAGTGCCGAATCATGCTAAATTACTTTATTCTAATCAAGTACCAGCGTACTGCCTATCCATTGACCTGAGTCGTCTTCCTGCTGGACCTCTCTCCTACAAACAAAACTGACACACCCTCAGACAGGTACGTATGTGAACACTCTGATATAACGTGAAATGTTCTTTCCATTTCAAGGAGAACAATGGCTAAGGCTGTCAAGTATCGTGTGATCTGAAGGCAACAAAACAGCGCCACTGTCCAGGCAGTGACAGTTTGTGTACCTTAGTGTCATGTTGGCCTGCCGCTGAAGACTTTGGCATTGCCACAGATGCATAAAGCCTCTCGTCTGCCACTGGCACTCCTATGGGCAGTTAAACTGGAACCAGAGATCTTGGACACGGAGATGAACAAGTTTGAAAATAGACATCTCTCTTCTTCCTTTCCTCCTTTTCCTCTTCATCCAACACACTACGCACCAACACCAAGATTATCAACATCAACAGCAACCACAACAGCGATAATCAAACTCAATCCCCTAGTCAATCAGTATCAAGCGTCCCGATTGTCGATCACAAGTACCATCCCCCAGCATCACACACACCCAACCCTGCTGACACATAGTGACTCACCAGGACATCATGCCTACCGTCCCAGTCATCAGCTTCTGCGCCGTCGGTCAACTGGGCTTTTGGAAGGAAGCCATTCACGAGATGACAGAGACCTACCCACCCCTCCGCACCGGTGCGCCTCGCCGCGCGCCAACCTATATGCCTCCATTCCTGCCCGCCAAAGAGGCAATGGATGAAATTTATCGTTTCCAGTCGGCGGTATATCAGAGCATCGCGTGGCTGCGTGATCACGCGACTGATGCTGAAGGTATCATGGTCCTCCGAGTCATCGAGTCGCTCGCAGAAGGCCAGCGAATTGAGACCCGTCGGATCCAGCACAAGATCTGGAAACTCCATCCTGCACGCATGATTCGTGAGTTTCGAGATGGAAACTTTCATTTTGTCGATGGAGAGCCTGTCATGGGCCCCGACCCTAATGCCAATGCTGGTGCCAACGCTGGGGGTAACGCTGCCGGAAATGCTGCCGGAAATGCTGGTGATAACTGAGTTCTGTTGCGGCGGATTCCAGAGCGTATCATCCTGTGAGAAAGTTCTTTGGAGGATAAGCCAAGAAGGTCTGGAGGAAGTGTTATTCCTTTGATGGATTTTCGTTGGCGCAGTACTACAGTATGATTCTGCTTAGGAAGGTCGCTTTGGAGGTTGTTGGCGTTTTGCTTCGATACCCGAATTGATGTCAAGTTGTCATTGAGAACTACTATTGCTTGTGCCATAATTGTGAGTAAGGCTAAAGAGCCCCCTCAGGAATCTCAGTTGTTGATGTCGAGTCTTGCAACCGGCTCTCCGACGAGGTGATGATGAATGTGAGATCAATGTGACAAGCCCCATGGATAATTAACTATAGCTGCGAAACCAAAACATGATGTTTCCAAAAGTCCATTTGTTTATTTGTACGAAATCAGTCTGATAACTATAACGAATGTGCTTTTTCGTCCACCATTCTGTTAGAAAATCGGGAACCAAACCGCCCTGTCCCAATCAACATTCTGGTCCTTGGCCTCAATTCGTTCGTGACATGTTCCAAAGAGTGTATCCCAAACCCGGGTTTGCTTTCCGTAATTATGACTCTTTCTATATCCCTTTCGATGATGAAGGTCATGATCTTCAATAACCAATTCCATACCGACACCCTTCAAGAGCCAGGCCAAGGTCGATGGAGGCATGCCGTAGATTCGAAGACCACTGTGACCTAGAACCTCAGTGAAGGCGATGTACTGATGGCAGATCCACCAGTCATAATAGCCGAGTGGGAGACCGAGGACTTGGAAGGTCGCCCAGGTCAGGAAGGGAATGCCAACCATGTCGAAGAATTCCTGCTCGTGGTCGGCAAAAGCGGCGAGGAGAGAGTTGGGGTGCTTGGTCAGATGGTGAGTGCGGTGATACTTCCACAGCCAGTCAATGTCGTGCATGGCGCGGTGATATACGTAGAACCAGAAATCGAGGACGATGCCGTAAAGACCGATCTGAAGCCACAGCCAAGCCCACCACTTGGGGTCGCTCATCACATCAGCAGGGGCTTGTGTCGCTCTGTAGGTGAGATGTGTCGCCATAAAGATCCGCGACCCTGTAGTCTTCCAAAGCGAAGAAACGACCTTATCAACACCGATATCAGGAATTCCATCCCTCTGATGAGCATCTCCATCTAAGAATCCATATTCATGCCCGAGCTTTGCGGTAGCTTTTACAGAGCGTACAACGGACCAGCTAAAGGATGCAAAGTAGAGCATAAAGACAATGAATGGATGTAGTGCTTGGCCGGTTGACGAGAGCCATGATTGATGTATGATTATCGGCACAAACGCGTGCAAGAAGATCCATACGTGGCCTTGCCACTGGGAGAAGTGAGGAATGCGTTCGGACTTGGCGTGTACTGGGACTTCTTTGCCTGGAATAATGGGATAGGTGCCTAAGACGTGGATGATTTGTTGATGAACATTCCACTCTGACTTGTCGGCGAGTGGCCAGGTCGACTTCATTGACTGAGTCGTCGTCGTCATTGTAAAGGTCGTATGTCGTAATCAAGATCAGATAAGAAGTTGCTTTTTTTGTTGTGTGATTGTGGTCAATGCGTGATATCGGATATGATGAATCACCGGAGATCTCAGCCTTTAATACCTATCAATCGATCCTGGACGGGATGTTGAAATGTCCGACCAAATCAATCTTGGATCGAATGCCGAGGCAAGTTTTGGAGAGGGGCACACATAGCAAAAGGTGAATGCGACAAAGTTTCATGATCATGTGCGCGATAGCATCATCCCGCAATTCGCAAACTTAGCCCTTTGTGCACTTACCCACTCTCAGCAAGGGCGGCCGGCGCCAACGACCTGGATTGGTATAGGTTATGCAGCGCCTACAGGGGCTGAGATGGATATTCTGGGGTACCTGGACACCCTTGAACAAGCTGCAGCACTGTGAGAGGGCTAGTTGCTATCAGATCATCTTCACATGTCCTCCCTCAGCTAGATCATTTACGTTGTCGGAAACTTGGCTTGAATGGAAGTGCATGACGAAAGAATGTGACGTAATTTTAGATCTGTCGATCACCCCCAACATTCATGTTGGGCTTCTCCAACTTCTTGCAGGGCTCGCTCCACGCGAAGCTACATTTGGATCGCGACGATGCCGTTAGTGGATTAAGGGTCTTTTCAACGATTCCTTGCTGGGACTAGCTTGCGAGCGAGGGCCCGAGAAATCTGCAGCCTCGGCTTAAAAAATCGATCACGCTAAGCAACTACCCTGCATACTGCCACTTTAAAAACCGTCGTGTTGTCAAATGATGGTGATGCTGATGCATTTCTAGAAGGCTAATGACTCAGACTTGAAACCGTTGGGATGATCGATATGCGAGATGCATCAGAATGTAGCCTGTAATTCCTGCGCCATACCCCCAGACAACACCGTCTGTTCTCCCTGCACATCATGCGGCAGCTCGTAGGTATGATACTTTGTCAGATACCAACTCTTGGCATCTGAATCTTCATCATTACTATCCTTGAACTCTGTATCATCCGCCGCTCTCAAAAAGTACGACACAGCATACCGATCTTCCTTCTGAACGCCCCCAATCGGGAGAACACGATGCAGCGCAGAGCGAAATCGCTTGTTAGATAGAAATCTCAACGTATCTGCAACGTTGATGATCGCGTGTCCCTCGCGTGGCTGCACGTACTCCCACGCTCCTGTCACGGGGGACACGACCTGGAGACCCCATTGCGGCGCGAAGAGGAGGGTGAGCGTGCCGATGTCAGTGTGCATGTTCTGACCTACTTCGTTTAGGCTCTGCGTTCCTGGAGGGTAGTGCAGGAAGTAGAGCGTGCTTTTGGAGCGTGCGTCATCGCGGTGGTGGGTGTCTAGGCGAGATGCGCCTCGGAGGTTTAGCCCGTCTGATAGGCAGTCCAGAAGTAGTTTTAGAATGAAGTGGCATGATGCGTTGAACTGGTCGAATAGCTCGAGGTTTTCTTCGACGACGGATGGGAGAGCCCAGCGGCCGAGGAGCTCACTTCTTCCAATCTGATATGGTGAGAGATACTCAGCAAGAGGTGAATATTGTTCACAGTACCTTTAACGCTTCAAACCCATCTTTGAGTGACTTGACAGCCCCGGATTGATTACCAGTAGCTTTAAACCTGATTGGACACACGATCAGTCGACTTAATGCACACGCTATGCAGTGGGATTAACAAACCCATGCGCCAACGATACTGTTGGGGTTTTCAGCTTGTCCTCAACAGGTTGAGAGAACCAGCGCTTAGCGATCGCGCTCACCCTTTCCAAGTCTCTCCACAACTTGGCGGAGGACAAGTCCTGAAGATCGAGATAGAAGAAGCCATCTCTTTCACATGCTTTCAGAAGAGTGTCGAGTTCTTTTGAGTCTCTGTCAAAGAGATTACTGAATTTTACCGTAAAGAGGTTAGCGGTCGCGACGTTGTCGTAAGGATTGGGCTGGGACAGCATGATGGAGTGAGTGATTGGTAATGGATGATGCAGCTGGACTGGCGATACGCAGAATGAATTGCTCTACTTTGCTTTTTAAGTATGAGGGAACTTTTGATGGCATGTGTTGACGTTCTGTGGTGACAGAGGCATTTCAGCTGCTCGCGGACTCGGAAGGTTCGCCTACAGATCAAGGTACTCTTTGTCTACGGCGCCACCACGACAATTGGTATCGGAGCAGTGAAGTTCACAGGCCCTGTAGTTCATTGAGATCACTTGGCTGCTCAACGGAACACGACCTTGGTACAACGTAGGACATCCACTCTAAAACGCCATGTTCAGTGTCCCGAGGCCGCTGCACAGACCTCCTCCGTCGTCGAGACTCTTCCAGCGTCACACGAAAATTTACACACGCATGCCAAGATAGTTGCAGAATGGTCACGGTTATCGTATATACCGATGAGAGCGGAGCTAGCACGATTTGTTGGGACGCATGAATAGATTTCCGACACAACCCACAAGGCAGATCTCGGGGTCCGCGGGACAGGAGCACTTGTAATCCTCCGATGACCGTGTAACACATAATTTGTTTGCGTAACACAAGCCCCCCGCATCTCAGTTCAGCTCATCTCATGTCGGGAAACGCACTGAGCGCCGCCTGTCCCCCCGTGTGCACAAACAGCACGTACCGACTCCCATCCAGCTCTTTGTTCTCGGCTTTGTGCAGAATGGCACCCACTGTTCTCCCCGAGTAAATCGGATCCGTCACAATTCCTTCGAGCTTGCCAATCAACTTGACGCCTCGAGCCGTCTTTTCGTCCCAAGCCGTGTGCGTGCCAGTATTGAACCTCGTATCCAGGATCACGTCGTCAGCCTGAACTGCATCTGCGCCTAGTCCGATGAGATCTGCCGTTCGTTTTGCTATTTCGAGGATTGTGGCTTCAAGAACGCCTTGCGGCTTGTTGTACGTGTCGATGCCGATTATGGAACGGGGCTGACTTCCAGACCGGTCGGCGAGCTTGAAGCCGGCGATCATACCGGCGATGGTACCGCCCGAAGCCACTGGGACGACAATGGTGTCGAAGAATATGCCATGAGCCGCTTCCTGCTCCACAAGCTCGAACGCCCAACGCGCAAAGCCCAGTCCTCCGTGAACATGGGCTGAAGCACCCGAAGCAATGACATACGGACGTCCGCCTTGTCTCTCAACATCCGAAGCAACATCCTCAAGCGCGGAATTCGGCGCAGCCATCTCAGCGCTGAGAATACTATTGACCTGCACATTCCCAGCCTGACTAAAAGCCTCAGAACCCGGACCTCCATGCACCTGCGGTACAAGAATAGTCTTAAGCCCAAGATGGCTTCCGACAGCAGCGACTTGACGCATGTGGTTGCTCTGTGTGCCGCCTGTCGAGATGAGAGTGTCGCAGCTTTGGGCTAGCGCTGATGGGATGACATACTCCAACTTGCGGATCTTGTTGCCGCCGAGACCGAGGCCTGAGGAACAATCCTCGCGCTTGGCCCAGATCTGGGCTTTCGTGGACGTGGTTGAGTTGATGTGACGCGTTAGATTTGGGAGAGGGTGGAGGGGAGATGGATGGGCGAAGAGGAGAGGAGTGCGCTCGAAGGAGGCTAAAGGCTCTGGGAGGGCGACCATGTCGATGGATGGCGAGTTGTCGGTTGATTTCAGATTAGAGTATGCGTTGGTTCGCACCGATTACTTGTAGAGTAACAAGACTTTTTCTCTTACTGCACTACTCCCCCTTCTCTGTAGCCGCTATTTATCTGTTCGCATGATATGCTCGATATATGCTACCTGTCCATGACCCCAACGACAAACCTAATAACAGATGCTAAATCGAGATCCTGATAAAAGTCTTGTCGGAATACGCTGAGCGCTCTGCCATGGTAAACAAATCGTTACTACATACGATAATGGAGAGAGAAAGGCGGCTGCCCGTTGCCTCAGCTATACGAGAACACATAGGCATGTCTCGGGTGACGAAAGTATTAATACTCGCAGAAAAGGGCGATAATCCCGCACAATGTCTCAGGGCACGGCCCCCGGACACCGAGGGAGCTTCGGTATGCCAAGATGCCGTATCTGCAGCTGTGCATTCTCGGGGAGATGGTGAAATCAACATGTATCGTATCTTCATTTTCGTAGCGAAGCTGGCTTCATGTCAATTGGCCGCTGGGATGTCATTTCACTCCTTTTCCTCTTTCTTTTCCGAGTGTGAACACCACCGTCCTCTCGATCAAGTCTACCATATACGGTTTATACCCTATCTCCAATTCTAAACATACTCTATAGCCTCATCTGAGTCCTTGAGCCTCTAAAAATCCCGATTCAATCAAGCTCAGTATCCCACGAGTAATCATGTCTACGACCACTAACGCAGAGCAAGCCAACCTCCATACCCTGAACTTCTCCTCGCTGCTCAACGGAGATGTTACCGAGCAGGCGAACCTTCTCTCTGCTTGTGAAGACCATGGGTTCTTTTACCTAGATCTTCGTGATTGGGACTCTGGCAACATGCTGAGAACGCTAGAGGATGCTTGGGGAGTAATGAAGGGGTGGTTCGACCAGCCGATGGAAGAGAAGATGAAGACCGAGACCATATCTGACGCTCACGGGTATGTTGTTACAATCTGGTGAGAACTGTGGACATTACTAATTCTCTCAAAGGTTTAAACCGCCTGGCGTCCAGTCGGGAGTCAATGAAAACACCCGAGATGGATTTGAAGCTCTGAGAGTAAGATTTGGGCATGTCCACCCCAACACTAGACCCTCAACTGACACCCGCCAGATCAGCCGCGTTGGCCTTCTCAACCGCTCGCATCTCCCAGAAGTAGTGCACGAGAATCTCCAACTCTTCGAAACTCTCCAGCTCTCAGCCCACTTCCTCCTCAAAACCCTTCTATCCCGTCTTTCCGACGCCGCAGGCCTCAAGAACGACGACCGCTTCGAGAGCTGTCATCCTGACCATCTCCCCTCCAAGAGCACAATGTTCTTCATCCACCATCCCCTCAGCGACGTGCTGGACGACAAAACAGCCCGCGGCCACAACGCCCACACAGACGTTGGGTCGTTTACCCTCCTCTTTACAGAACAGCCTGGCTTGCAGGTAATCTCACCCACTACTAATAAATGGGAATACGTCGCTGCGAAACCAGCTCATGCGATCATAAACGTCGCTGATACACTTCGCTTTATTTCCAAGCGACGTTTTCGATCGGCTATGCATAGAGTGTTGCCTCCCGGGGGTAAGATGATGGAGGATAGATACTCAGCTGCTTATTTCCTGCGGGCTAGTGATAGTGCTGTTTTTAAGGGGATGGATGGGGAGGAGGTTACAGCGGAACAGTGGTTTCTTAGCAAGTATAGTAGCTTTAATAAGACTATGGAGGAGCAGAGGGTTGATTCTGTTGCTACGGGGGGCATGGATAAAGATCTTGGGTTGAAGGTCTGAGGCTGGTAGTTGAGATTTCTAGACTACGATGGGCGCTTGGATATGAACTGGATCGATAGCGCTTTTGTGCCGCCCACCTAAGATTTCCAGTCATCACAATTGTCTTTTCATGATGATTCTCCTTTAAGAACTAGATAAGCCTTAGTTCGAGGTGATGTCTAGTTTCATAGTGTGTAAAGTCAAGAGACCCGAAGTCTGCCACATTTGGTAGACGTGGAATTTGCCACCTTTCTTCAAATCTACCACTGCCTGTTTATGTTCCCGCCTAACGACTGTGACCAATGGCCTCCAACCACTCGCCAACCCTGATCCAATGGAGCTTATACTTCTGCAGGTATGGCGCTCCTCTTTCTGCTCACCGACATACCCGAAGACTGCTCAGCTATCGTAATATTTGTGGTGACACAGCCTCTTGATCCCGCCTCCATGTCTCCGTTGCAATATCTTCCGAGTCAGGGGTGTTCGGCCGTTTACCAGCCCTTCATTCCCCGACTACCGATCCATTCCCTCCTAACCCTTCCTTTACTCCTCTGTCTCCTCTTCAAGATTCTTTCGAAATTCCTAACAGTATGCTTATTACACATTCCAAATTCCCCTCCACGTCTCTAGGCTATTGCATCATGAATGGAAAACAGCCTCAGTCTAGCAACAGAGGCAATGCTTCTAACGGGCTCGTCAATGAACAATCACCTCTTCTCTCCCATGGCCGTGCAAAGCCTAAACCTCCTCAACAGCCCAACGATGCAGAGAGTGCAGCTCTGAAAGACGAGCCCTCAACTAGATATCTCGTCGCTGTTTTTGGCAGCATCTTTATCGGTGTTTTCCTCGCTGCTCTCGACACTACCATCGTCGCTACCCTCTCCGTCCCCATCTCCAACACCTTCGGATCGCTGACCCTCGTCTCGTGGCTTGGATCGTCATACCTCATCGCAAACGCAGCTTGTCAGCCTCTCTCCGGTCGACTCACCGATATCTTCTCTCGTCGCTCAGGCCTCGTGGTCTGTAACATACTCTTCGGTATTGGAACATTACTGTGTGGAGTAGCGACCTCGAAATGGGTGCTGCTCGCTGGACGGGTCGTGGCGGGCATGGGCGGCGGGGGTCTCAATGCCATCACGGCGTTCGTTGCCAGTGATCTCGTACCTTTGAGAAGACGTGGCGTCATCCAAGGCTTTGTGCATATTTGTTACGGCGTTGGCGCTGGTCTTGGTGGGTTGTTCGGAGGTTGGATCAATGACCTCTGGGGCTGGAGGACCGCTTTCCTGAGTCGCGTGCCACTGATTGCTATTTCCACCATTCTCGTTTCTATTACCCTACGCAATACTCCCACCAAACACAGTGATAAGTCGAGATTGTCGAGGGTCGACTTCTCGGGCGCTTTCACGCTGTCCTTGACTCTTATTCTGCTACTGTTGGGCCTCAATTCTGGTGGAAATCTCGTTGCATGGAGTCATCCACTGGTCTTAGTCTCCCTGTCGCTTTCAGTGGCAGTTGCCGGGGCCTTTGTTATTGTTGAGTCGACATGGGCCACGGAGCCTATCATCCCCATGCATCTATTGCTTGATCAGACAGTACTCGCGGCATGTCTCATGAATTGTCTTGTGACTATGGTACTGTTCATGGCTACATATTACGTCCCCATATTTTTTCAGATCAATGGCTACTCCACAACAGCGGCCGGCCTTCGTCTCTTGCCGCAAAGTGTAGGCACCGCTTTGAGTTCTCTCACATGTGGCTTCATAATGAAACGTACCGGCAGATACAGAACTTTGGGCATGGCCGTTGTAGCGTGTTCTGCTTTGGGCTTCGTTGGTCTCAGCACTATGACCATCCAGACACCGACTCTCCTCGTCTTGACCTATGTCTTCCTGGTTGGAGTGGGGTATGGTGGCATGTTATCAGTGTCCCTACTCGCAACAGTCGCGGCAGTGTCGCGTGACGATCAAGCTGTAGCAACCTCTGCCAACTACGCCTTCCGATCGATGGGTTCCACGATTGGCGTCACGATTGCGTCGGTAGTCTATCAAAACTTGTTACAACACGGTTTACATCAACAATTTGACAGCAAGGAAGGATCTTCTGAGATAATAAAGCGACTTCTTGAATCTTTAAATGAGCTAAAGCGGCTCCCTGATGGGTGGCGTGACGGCGTTTATAAGGCATACGAGATTTCATTGCGAGGAGTCTTTTTGACTGGACTCGGCGTAGCCGTCTTGGGGCTGATCGCAGCGAGCTTCATCAAGGAGCACAGGTTACATCAGACTATCTCTCGTGTAGACGACGACTGATGCCTGAAGGATTGCTAGTTCTGGTCACTACATGTTCTGGCAGGTGCATCAGAAGTGTACTCGACAGTGAAGTGTATATAAGATGGATATGAGGACCTTTATAGCTAGCAGCTGTTTGTAATTGACTCCTTGCGAGCGTCACATCAAATTCCTATCTGTTTAAGAATTTTCCTTATTTCGCCATTCATAACATTCCAACCTTTCATATGCTCTCTGTGACCCGAACCGAGATGCAAGGTTACGGTATCTTTACTAGACGTGCTTCGATATAAAGACACCTGCCTCACCAAAAACGAAACAGCCTGTACATGCTCATACTCAACAGCATACGACAGCGGTGTCCGGTTCCTGAAGTCTAAGCTTGTCATGGCGCCTCCGCTACTCTTTAAGAGATAAAGAATCTCTACCGAGCCAGTTATAGCGGCATAGTGCGCAGGGGAGCTATACTGCGAGTCCTTGGCGGTACTTTGATCATTGACGGGAAAATCACGTTCGAGGAGATAAGCGACAAGGGCAGGGTTTCCGGAAGACACGGCTAAGTGAAGTGGCGGTGCCTGGAACGTGCTGACCAGTTTTGTTGGGTTTGAATGTCTCTTGAAGTACGATCTCTGTTTGTGATGACGCCATATCGTCTCGACCATACTCTGGTTTCCTAATGCACACGCAGACGACATGGCATGAAGAATGTCGTCTTTCTTGGTCGATGGGAAGGCAAGTACTGCGTTTTCATGACCATATATAGCTGCCAGTTCTCGCGCCGAAAAGGTTTTCGCGTGTGCGATGACTCGTGGAAACTTGAACTTCTGCAAGGTTGCCGGGCTATCAGCCCTATCGTTTATCCAATCGTGCCCACCATTCGATATCAGCATCTTCACCTCCTTGCTGTGGCCGTATCTTGCTGCAAGATGTATGGGCGTAATACCGCCCTGGGCGTACCAGTCCTTGTTTTTGTAACTTATTAAGAGCTCAAGGATAGCGTAATGTCCCCAACTTGCTGCTAAATGTAAAGGTGTCATGAGATTTTCGTCCCGTATGGTGCATCGCGCTCCTCGTTTTAGGAGGGCTGCCGCGTCTCGTAGCGAGCCAACTGTCGCCGCTTCCAGAAGGGCCACGCTCAGTTCTTCCCGGTTGGCAGACTTGGGGATCTGTCGTCGGTCAGCACTTATTAAAACTATGAGGCAACTTGTAGCCTTACATGAGATGCCCCAGGAGGGTCAGAGCTGAAGATCTGAGTACCGAGCCACGACAGCCAGCGTGCAAGCTGGATCAGTGGGACTTTCAGAAGTCCTGTGAGGCTCGACAACGAATCGAGTACTAGTTTTATCAACATCCACAACGAGGTTACAGACTCTCTTACCAGTCCTTCCTTCAACGGCAGGACCCAAGCGCCAGATGATGTAAGACCAGTAATGCAGGCTTGAACTTTGCTCTTCACATTGATATCCGGTATCAGCAGAGAGCAGATGACCGCTCACAGTAAGCTTATGACAACCAACCATCCAAACGAAGAAACTGCTATGGATTCGATAGCCTGTAGTCGAAAGCGATAGGAGGGTTTTTGAGAGGGAACTTCAAATGCACTGAACGAGAATCTCGCGCCACCGGAGGCTCCGATCGATGAGCTATGGCTATGTTCTTTTATCCCAGAATGAAGCTGATCGAAGGAACGTTGCCTCTGGCCTAGCGGTCTTGGTTGGTCTAACATCAGTGGAACAAGTAGAACAAGGTTGAATGAGCAAGTTAAACGCGCAACTTACAGCTTCAGAATTTTCATGAGGCTTTCGATGGAGCTATTTTGCTTATCGAGCTCACTGCTGCAACTTTTGAGCGTGGAATCGGGAACTTCTTGTCTGAATCGTTTCCAAAGATTTCTATCTGCGGCATCGTTGCCTCTTAGTTGTATCTCTCGGGTACCCTTCTCAACCCAATTTATAACCTTCTGAAATGAGCTAAGGATAGAATGAAGTGCGTCGAAGGGGAGTCCGATTTCGTCGTGCAAGTGATCACGAAACTGAGATATCGTTTCATGAAGGGTTTGGCAACTCTCCATAATCGACGTTAGGAAGTAGGGTGCCTCATGCCACTGTTCTTCGATATTTGTGAGCATGAACACAATATTATGGCAGGTCCCAGTCATGGCATTAGCCATAGAGTGCAATTGGTTGAGAGTTATTGCTTCCATTTTGACGCAGAAAACGTGTACGAGTCAACACAGACACCGCTACGAGAATAAACAATCATCTCATGGCTGTGTGCAGCCTTTTAGGCAAGATTGGCTTGAGGTGCTTATCTCGGCATTTTCCCTTCAGTTTTCTGCTGTCCATAGATTCAAAACTCAATGGGTTGAAAACAAGGCGGCATTAGGAACTGGGATTGGTGGGCGAGAACGCCACTTATAGATGGTGGTGTACTGGGTTGGGCCTCAACAACCCCATTGAGCCGTGAGCATCAATCACATCAACGTGGCTTTGTTTGACTGGCTTTCACATGTTCTGTGGCTGATACAGCAGCACACAAGAACAGAGCGTCAGACAATGGATGTCTCAACTTCGCTTCCTGAGTGACGTTGTAGCCTATAGCTGGCTGGCATTTGAGAGTCCTAGATTGATAGGCAAGCCACGCTTTCTAGTAACGGGCTCAACAGTGACAGTGACATGCCACAGATGCGGATAACGAATTAAAATTATCAGCCCTTTGTCACTGTCGCAAAGATATTGGAGTCTTTCAAATTTACTCCCATATCTTGCGCGGGGTAAAAAATAAGCAATAAAGATAAACCAAGCTGCCATTTTTAATCGAAAAATACCATGAGTCTGTCTCTTAAAGCAATTCATCATGTGCTCCGATTTCTTGGCCGATATTAACAACAATCACGCAAAAGAATGTCGAATGGACTGGGGACCCGAGTTCGTGAGCGGTATAAAGGCCATCGCAGCTCTTGGTCGGCTCCTCCTCGTGACACACTCAGAGTTTGATGTATCGGCCCTCGAGATCCCCGGCAGCTACGACAGTAGTAGCAGGCTACTTACAATTGGCGAAAAAGTCCGGAGTTGTTCAAGATTGTATCAAGAAGCGTTTGCCAAATCCGAACAAAGCCAGGCCAAGCTTTCTGGCACTTCTTGGGAGCTGGCATCTTCTCGCGGTTCGGTATATAGATTGATTTATGCTATCGTTTCTATCTGAGTCTAACCTGATCATCAAACCAGCTTCATCGTGTAACAGAGCTGTTTCGCAAAGACAATCCAATCGTGGCATACTCCTCCTTTCGAGATGAATGGGACCGAGTACATCGATACCTCTGCGACGTTCACCCGCACGCGAGTGCATGTTCCGAATCTTGGTCTTGCCTGCTCTTTTTTATCCAAGAATTTGAAACGCTTATCAATAATATGACTAGTAAGTATACGTCTTATTTGTGTGTCGTTAGTCGAAGTGTTGACCATGCGATGCACAGCTGATAATAAGAAGCTTACTATCACCTTGAGTGGAAAGTTAGAAAAGGCCAAAGCAGAAATTAAAACACGTCGATACGACAGTAGGCACCCATTCCTTTTAACTACTCCTTTCTACGTTGACCTAACCTTCGCCAGTTAACCCAGAGTCCTCGTATGAAAAGGATAGCCAAGGATTTGACTTCACATATGCCATCCCACTCTTGATTGCAGCTTTAACTGTACTGCTCCTCTCTGGCATTCTTTTAAGAGCCATTATCTTATCTTGCATGTTCTTATGTGCACTTCTCGTCCTTCGGGAAGGGATGGAGCATTCGAGTCACCAAGCGACATTAGTTGACGACGACGGAGATCAAACCCGCGACCTCGAAATCGAAATAGAACGTTTAACTCAGAAGCACAAGCTTAGCGTACGTTATCTTTCTCTAACTGGTATTACCCATAACAGCGCACACTGAAAACCATTATCATCCAGACCACCATAGGTCAGACGTGCCAAGAAATGAGCAGCTCACTAGCCTCTGCGATAGGCGGAGTGCGAGAGATTCACGACTCCTACAGAGCTATATCTGAGAGGCTCCAAAGCATGAATGAGGATAAGATCGACCGCTTTAGAAAAGTCATGAATAGGATCTCCTACATCATTAGTTGGGACGAGTCCTACAATGCCAACCGCACGACCGATCATCGGCTACGGGAATCAAAAGATGTGACGGTAAGTCAGCTATATCTGCTCACATCGAAGTAATCAAGAAGGCGGCAATAGCTAAGGATAGAGAAGGAATTACGTGAACTTGTCGTCGAGCTGCGCCTGACGTTCTACATCATATTTGAGTGGTCTTCGCTTTACACACGAATCTCACAAGATATATTCACCGCAGCGCTACGTGAAGTTCAATCCTTCAGCTCCCTAGCTACATTGATCGGTGGCATCGATTTGTCGAGTGACAGATTCAAACTGCGGCCTGCTCAACAAGGACAATGGACTCAACGACAAACTGTACCACCACGCACTCGGAGCTTTATGCCACTCGCCACTATACCCCCGACATATTCTGTGGATTGAGATATCTATTTCCCTCAGTCATATGCACCAACGGCCCAAGATGCATTGACGCTAAATCAGGTAGCAGGGCGCGCTGAGATGGAGCTCAACAAACTACATCGTGAGGTAAACCTCTCGTTTGAGGTCGGCTCTAGAACACATAGCGCTAACGCAATGCGACCGACTAGGCCCAAGAAAGCGCGATGAGATCTGTACAAGAGAGGGTGACGGAGGTCTATACCACAACTATGCCAACATTAATCAGAGAACCCAAAGAAAGGCAAAAGCACATCTTAAGTAGAGCTAGCGAGAGCGAGCCGAAACTGGAAGATTCGAATCAAAAGTCAATCTCTTTACGTCATAGGTTCTGGCGCTTCAGAACTAGAGATGGAGGTTAGATACTACTTAGGGTTGTCTTTAGTAGTAATTCTATATTTCACCATTATCAGCACACGCATCGTAAGTTATCAAAACTGGAGCATCTATAATCCAGAGGTACTCCAATATGTAGGATAGAATAACTATCAGACTTATTAGTGCTAGTGACTATGACACAGTGCATAAATAAGTTGATAGTACGAAAAGAAGTTTAGATGTCGCCCTCATCCCAGGCCTTGGAACAGATTCGAGTAGGCCTCCTGTCAACCCAGTCTTCCGATCCCCACAAATCAACCTTACACTCGCAAGAGTCCTGCCCATGGTAGCCCTTATTTAGTCGAATAACATCCTTCTATGTCTCTGAAGTAAGCCGCATGGGCCACTTTCTTAGGTTTTAGCTCTCCTCTAGCAGTCGTTGGGAGACTGAGCGAGTTGCTTAAAGCTCTTGTCAGCCTTATCTCATCTTGTAATCTATATCTTAGGAAGACCTACGCATCGGAAGGACTTTGGGCCCGCCTCCCAGCCATCACAGTACCACTGAGGACTCTGGTTCAGAGATCCACAATGCTCGTCAGTGTAGTAAGTACACGTGTAGCAAAGCTGTGCGCCGCTGATCTGTGTCTTTCCATCGAGAGCAACAGAATGCACCTCCCAGACGTCACTTGAACAAGCATTGGGCCCGATGGTGCCGCCATTGGAGTACTCGGTACAGGTGGAGCCTGACTGGCCGCCGAACTTTTGGCATCCGTCGTAGTCGCCTTCGTAAATGCGGTAGTTAGTGTCGCCCTCTGCTTCGCAGTTGTCGACGTTCTTGTAGGCAGTTACTGTCGGGACATTAGCAAGTAGTCTTTCTGTGTTGTGGGTGTGGCAACGAACAAACGTAGCCTTGAGAGATGGCGGCTAGGCCGCCGATAATGGCAAGAGACAAGAGCATTGTCTTTTGAGACTCGTAGAGTAGCCCGGAATTGATAATAGTCGAATTTTGTGTTGGTTATTCCAAGGGACGAAAAGTAGTGATGCGCCAGCCCTTTATATAGATATCGAACTTTGCATGTATGCAGTTCCTCAGACCAAACCAGGGCTTAACTCCTCCTTTGATGCTATCTCATGACTGCATATGTTGCAACACAAAGACAAGGTACTCAACTAACAAACTTTAGAAATCATCGATGGTCCACCGCAGCCGGGCTTTGCTCCTGGATCCTACAAACTCTGAACATCCTTCGGCTTTACGGAACACAAGAGTTGTAAAGCCGACTTGATGGCGAACTCATCAATCAAGTATCATTAAAGACAACGTTGTGGGCCAAGATTTGCAGATCTTCTGCCAGGAAGGAAATAGAAGCTTTGCCGAGTTATGAGAGGATTATTATAAGATCCCTCGAAAGTATAAACTGCCGGGGTTAGTTGCCCACGGCAGTGGGTCTCATATAGATATCCGGCTAGTCTAGCGGCCATATTTCGGCAGATGAATCTGTAGAAAAAAGCATGAATGACATATCTGAAGCTACAGGGATCTTGGTTGCAAACACGACTTAACATAGAAAAGACCTGATTCAGAGTAAGGTGTTGCCCTCGTGAAAACCTCGTTCTAACCAATAAAACATTAATTCTTTCTAGGTTACCTTTATGCATCCAAGGATTCATCCATTCTGTAATGGACAGTTTCAGAGCTACAGAACGTACAGTACTAATACTAGGTTATATGAACCCAGAAAGCGCTGCCAGAACTTTAGGAAATTAACAAACTTCAAGGAGCAAGGTATTAAAGGGAAGCTGTTAATGCCGACTGGATCACAATACACTAGTTTGGAATGAATGATCAGCGTGTATATGGAGAGGTGTAGCAGGTGACGCCTGTGCCGTTTAAGCGAACCCCTGGCAAAGGAGCCGGCTACAAACTTTCGGTCAAGGTAGTACTCCGTATATGGTAATTCAAAACAGTATTCCTGTAGTATAGAGAAACACGGAACCAAATTACTTTGCAGTGATCTTTGTGGCACATTAGCCACGGGCAATGAACCCTGTCGAAGTACTATGACAAGTCTGAAACCAATGGTGGCAAAGGAGGTCGAGGGATTGTCCACCCAGACAAACTACATCACGGTAGAACCTTAAAACAAAGGTAATGACTATCCAAACTGCCCTTTGTTTTATAAGAAGGCTTATTCTAGTGCTCAGATTCTTTATTCATGTCGGCTATCTTTAATCGGTTTCAGCTCAGATTACTAGATAAAGCTAATCTCCAAGATAAAAGTACTCATAATAGGTCCGCAAATGCATTAGTCTATTAATTTTGAAACTACACAATTAACAAAAAACTCCGAAATACCCGTTGTGTAAATGACGGGATAGTTTAAACCAAGTTAACGACAGTAGGCCTCCCTAAGCAACCTATTCTGTCCACGATACGAGCAGTACGATCATTCTCCGGCGCGTATTTTATATCTTTTCAAGCCCAGTATGTACCTCTATAATGTTGAATGAAACGAGAAATCGGTGCTTGAGTTTACAGATCAACCTGGAAGTGAGTCCGAAGTCTCTCACCGTAACTGTAGAAGATCCACGGAACAGGAGTGAAAGCAAGCGTTATGAAGCCAAGGACGCTGTTACCCCAGCCCAGCCCAAGCTTCGTGTACAGAGGCTCGGCTGCTAGGTCAAGGAAGGCTCCGAATGGAGAACGGACCAACAGATTGGCCGCCAAAGCAGACGCAGCTGCCTCAGCTCCAAAGGAATCGACTAGGTAAATCTGACCAGGGATAACGACAAAAAGGGAGCCAAATCCCACGATGAATGTGCCGATGATAGGGACGATCCAGTGAACGCCATTTTCTGTTGTCCAGCCATAGATGAAAAGGCCAAGGGGAGTAATTGGGCCGAGCCATTTCATGAGAAGAAGACGATCCTCTGGCCTGGGAGCCGCATTCTCGTTGCCCTTCTTGCGACCAAGGAGCTTGTCACTAAGTACAGAGAACATGAGCAAGCCTAGACCCATGCCTATTCCAAGACCAAGATATGCTAGTCCGGCGACACCTGGGTTGAAGCCGTACACATCCTGGAAGACAGAGGGGAAGGTGGTGAAGAGTAAGAAAATGAGACCGAAGAGAATACCAGTGTATAACGATACCAAGAGGACAATTGGGGAGAAAATGAGCAGCTTGAGTGGTCGGACAATAGCGCGTGCCAGCATTTGACCTGGAGTCTCATCTCTGCTCAGCTTGGCTACGAGCTTCTCGTTACCAGTCTGCTTGCGCATTCTTAAAGCTTTCTTTTGCAAGATGACGTTGTAATTTGTTTCCTTCATGAAGGCAAATGTGACCACAGCAATGATGCCGGACTAAGATAATTGTTAGCATTAGAGATTCTCTACATATTGAGGGATGACCTACCAAGATAAGGAGGATGCGAAATGTCCATCGCCACCCAACGTTCTCGGAGACAAAGCCTCCAATAATTGGACCAACAACCTGATAACCAGTTAGGTGGTGCAATAAAGTGAGTCAGTGGAGAAAGACTTACAGGTCCCAGGAGCGGCCCAACAGTGAAGAGAGCCATGGCTTTTCCTCGCTGCTCCTGAACGAACAGATCTGCGACAGTGCCTCCACCGATACTCATTGGGCCTGAGGCAGCGCAGCCAGCGATAATGCGAAAGACGAGAAACATGCCGACATCGGTGCTGAATGCACAGCCAATTGTGAAGGCTATGTACACCAAGTTGCAAAAGTAATAGACGATCAGACGCCCGTATAGTTCAGAGAGAGGTGCAAGGAGAAGGGGACCTAGTGCGAAGCCCAAAACGTAGAGACTGACTGTCATGGCTGTGACGGTAGAGTTGGTGATATTGAACTCATCAGCTAGTTCTGCTGCTCCTGGGGCAAACATTGTCGCAGCCAGGTTTCTATTCGATAGTCAGTGATATTCCATTAAATTAATTAGAAATGGTGAGTTGCTTACGCTGCAAGAGTGAACAGACTCACAATGCCAACATGTAAATTCTTCTGGGTCTTTGACCAATTGAGTGGATGTTCCGGATCATCTGGTCCATCCCAGTCAACAATATTGGGGTTCGACTGAGGCTCATCGACCATTGTCCCAGTCGTTGACAAAGGCTTCTCTTGAGGCTCATTCCCAACATCCTCCCGAACACCAGCCTCCAACTGATCATCCTGAAAGCCTGATTGCGACATCTGAGGCGTTATCGACATGGCTGTTGCGACAGAAAAAAAACAATGGAGAGTATTTCCTCTTTGGACCAATCTGTCGCTTATAAAATGTGATATTTCTTACTGGGATGATAACGCAACAGTTGATACGTGCATGCTGCATGCGACGGTGAAACTTGATTATCTAGAGTGGATCTGCAAAACAAAAAAACCTTCTCATGGACATTTGAGATGGTTTGTTATATGGATGGGGGAATGTGATGTGTGTGGGGTACACAGCAAGTAAGCTGAGTGATGTTATGTCTGCAGGGCTGGGGCTGGAGCATCGGGCCGGACATGGGAGGGGACGGAGGATCGGAGCGGAGGATCGGAGCGGATGATGAACAGATCCGGGGACTAACAGGGATTGTGCGTCAGATGCAGGACAAATACCGTAACTTGGCTTATGCCTTCTGGGTTAGATTCTCACTCTGTCAGCACATTATTTCTCAACGTGAAAGTTAGTTTGTTCCGACACTCCACGGCCAATTCTCACTCCGTTTGTTTACATTTCGCCTCCGGAATTACTCGTCTATCAATCATTTCTGTCCCTGAATCCATGGCGGACCAGGAATCGCGTCCTACCTCTATTACGGAGTGGGGACCGGGGAAAACACCGCAGGGTAGGGCTCGTCTACCCTCGAGCAGACCGCGCGAAAAGCCGCAGCTGTCATGCAACCTGTGTAGGAGGAGAAAGTACGTAACCATGCAATGCACTTTGCCGTCTCTCTTTTCCGTCCCTCTCCGCTCTGACGCAACTCTATTGTAAGCGATGCCCCCCACGTGCTGACGCTTTGTCCCGTTTGTAAGACTACGATGTGACCGTCAAAGACCCTGCAGCAGCTGTGTGCAACGAGAGCTCGGTCTGTCGTGCTCGTACGCTTCTGACAGAGTGACAGGCGGCGATGCGGCACACCAGCCTCGTGTCACCACACAGGACCGCATCCGCCACCTCGAGAGTCTTGTGTTTGATCTGATGCAGCAGTCGTCCGTCAACCATGGCCAGCACGGAGGAGGAACGCCTTGTTCCCCCGTCGGAAGTACCCGTTCCCCCGTGGACACGCCTGTCACTTCACCCGCCGACTACGGTAGCATGCAGTTTCCGGGCGGAGGCGCGAATTACGTGGGTAGTTCGCACTGGGCTGCTGTTCTCGACGGGATTGCCGAGCTCAAAGATCATTTTGATAACGAAGAGGAGTTGTCGCATCCTGATGTCCAGGGCGTTGAGTCGCCTGGTGCGGATATGACTGGCCCCCAGTTGTTCTACGGCTGCCGCAAGCCCGCTAGCAAGGACGAGATACTGGCGTCGATCCCTACCCGCCCGGTAGTAGACCGATTGGTCTCACGCTATTTTAACTCATTTGAGATGTCGCCCGGTTAGTCTTGTCATACAGCTTTATCGTGCAACCACCATGCTGACCCCGCGCCCAGCCGTACTGCACAGCGTACAATTCCTCAATGAGGTACGGAAGCACAATCCTATCTCCTTTATTCATACTGACTAACCCATTATTATCTTAGTATGAAGAGTTCTGGAACGACCCATCTGCAGTGTCGCCCCTCTGGTTGGGCCTTTTGTTCACCATCATGTGCTTGGCAACCCAATTCGAAAAGTTCCGCCTCGACCCTGGCGTGCAGTCCCCCGCGGCTCTGTCCATGGAGAGAGATCTCCAGAAGATGGCTGATGCGTACAGGCTGAGGATTGGTCAATGCCTTGTTCTTGGCAACTACACCAAAGGCGGTCCCTATGTTCTTGAGACGCTTATGCTGTACATTGCCGCTGAGGTGTTTTCAAGCACGGATGCGGAGATCGACATTTGGATCCTGACGGGGAACACGGTTCAGATTGCCCTGCATATGGTAAGCTCAGGGTACCCTCTCCGGTGTTCATTCCCTGACTAACGCGTCACTAGGGGTATCATCGAGATCCAAAGCACTTCAAGGGCATGTCGTCTTTTGCTGCGGAGATGCGGAGAAGGGTCTGGGCGACTCTTGTTGAGATGGATCTCGTACTCTCTGCCCAGATGGGACTGCCAAGGATGATCAAGCAGTGGCAGACTGATACGCAGGAGCCGTCTAATCTTCAAGACAATGACTTTGACAAGACGACGGTTGAGATGCCTCCGTCAAGGCCAGACACAGAATTGACGCCCATTCTTTACCGTCTTGTCAAAGCAAGGTTGATGACGACGGTCGGATATATCTGGGACTTTGCGGCTGATGTGCGACCGTACACCTTTACTGAAGTCGAGAGAATGGACAACAAGCTGGATGAAGCACGCAAGTCGATCCCGGATTGTCTCAAGTGGCATTCCTTCGCCCGCTGCATCACGGACTCTCCTCAGAACATCATGCAAAAGGTCGTTCTAGAAACCCTGTTCTATCGCGCAAAGATTGTTCTCCACCGAAAGTTCATGTTCGGTCCCCCAGCAAACTCTGCCGATTCCAAGCGCATCGTCTTGGAGTCGGCACTCAAACTTCTAGACTACCAACACATACTGCAGGAAGAGACACAACCCTTCTGTCAGCTTTACCAAGAAAGGTGGAGGGTTTCTTCATTAGTCAACCACGACTTTTTGCTTGCGACTAGCATACTGTGTTATTACCTGCAGAACACGAAACGCGAGGGCATGCAGGTTTCTGAGTCAGAACCGATGGATGAAACCATCCTAGCTTCCCTCAGAAGATCTTATGACATCTGGTTGCAGTCGAGCAATTCGTCCAAAGAGGCGAGAAAGGTTGTGAAAGCATTGGCGGTAGTTCTCGGAGTCAATAATACCTCAGATACAGATTCAGGGTTCGACTCGACCATGTCGTTCGGCGTTCCTTCGGGGTATGCCTCTTCCAGCATCAACGATTATCAATCAGGTAAATCACCATTATATTTTAACAAAGAGGAAGTGCTGAAGCTGACATGTGGGCCGATAGAGATTCCAGCAGGTCTCGGCTCACAGTTTCCAATGCTTGATGGCACGATGATGCCGAACTGGGCCACGTTTGCGGACGATTTACTGGCTGCGCCGATAGCTACCCCGAGTAATCAGTGGCAAGCAATGGATGGTAAGTCAACCTTGAGGGTCCCATGTACTTTCAGGGTTTAATAATTAGATCTGTAGAGACGGTGGATGCAATGGGGTCTCTGACATGGCCATGGAACTTGCAATGACATGCATTGGGGGAGAAAGTGGATAAAGATAATTTAGAACGACGCTGACACGAGGAGTAATTTGGCTGGAAATGGGTATTTCCGCGGTATCACCGTATTACTCCGCAGGTTGTTGAGGTACGCGCATTTCTTCTGAGACCAATCACTGCGGCTTGAGAGTTACAGTGGCAGCTTGGACACGCCTGGTTCGTCGTATACGAAAATTAATAATAAACTCAACCCCTGTATTTCTCCTCTGGCTGAACTCGTGAATGCGGGCCGTCCCGAAACGGACGATGACGAAAAAGGTCATGGGCTGTCAGCGGAAAAGCATCCTGTCACCCCACGCAATGCTCACCGAGAGCGGAAGTGATGAACAGAGGATTGGCGTTGTAGAGTAAGCGGGGACAGGTTCATGATGTGACGAGTTATTTGCCGAAGTGTCACGAACAGTGAACAGACCGTCCTGCGTGGAGAGCACAGCCAACGGATGGACAGGGGCCTATCAAAACGGGTCATCTTATCTGCGGCGCAGTTCTTGGAAGCTAACAACAGGAGATTCCAGAGCCGAAATGATTCATGTGTCCGAGTTGAGCTTCTAGTTCTACTAAGCGAATCTTTCGAGAACCGAGCTGCTCCGGCTTTTGCGGACGGAACTAAGCCAGCTTTCCATTAGCGGCGGCAGATATCTAGGTACCCGTAAGACCTAGACCCAAGTCAGTGTCGTGTCACTGGCTGTCTTGGCAATGCCTGAGCGGTACAACCTTGACGACAGACAGACTGCGGCTGCCGTAAGCCTCTTGGCGTGCATTTGCGGGATAATACTGAGCTCACACAGGGCACATAGCGCCATCTCAGATGCTAGGTCCCGGATTACCCGTGGGATTATCCCATTGGACCGGGGCAGCTTCCGCCGCAAACAAGGTTATGGAGGGGTCTAACCGACACTTTTGCTCTCAACGTGTCGAGACACATTAATCGAGGGAATCCTTGGCCTTGGATCAGAAAGGACACATTTTGGATTGGTTCGTAGTGAACACGACTTAACCGATGGTGTAGTGACAGGTAGATTATCACCACCAATTAACTCACTTCTCAAGAGGTCTGAGTAACACCTACCATTAGACGAATAGACGACATGAGACTTTGAACGGACCAACGTACATATTGTTTCATCCTGCTTTGCAAATATGATATCAGCCCAACGTTGTATCTTTACATAACCACTCGGCGGCAATTATCAATTCCGATATGTCAGCCCAACAACTGTAACCTGTCAGCCTGCAAACGAGGCTTATGTCGCACTGAGATTAAGCATGTTTGTAAACATAAACCTCTAGCGCTCGGCTACTGCACCCTTCCCCCCCGCCAGGATTCCCATCCTCGCTCTGCCGTCATAGTGAGTGGCCTGAGGTCTTTAGAATGCTGACCACCTCCTCGCAACATGACTGCATGCATAGACCTTGCCTTGCATCCTTCTCAAGACGGAAAATCGTCAAGCTCTGAGAAGTTTCTCAGCACAACGGCAAGGATTAATTGAGAGACATACAGGCAAAAGTGCCTCTGCTGGTCTGCTCTTCTGGACAATTATATAGGGAGATCCCGTGTACCTGATGGCCGGGCCAGAAAAGTGCTGCTGTTACACTGGTGAGTACCAGTGACGTTTGCACTGCAACTATTCTCCTGCTTGTCCCTTGCTTGGGCTTCGTGCAACATCAAGTTTTGACAGCACCCAACATATTCTCCACGGCTACCCGACACTTTGGTTAAGCATAACATAACATATCATAACACACACACACAATGTCCATGCGGAACAGCCAATCTATCCGGTCCAGCTGCGACCGATGTCGCTCTCACAAGCTCAAATGCTCTGTTTCCCCAGAGGACTCACGCTCAGGGCCCCATAAATGCACGAGATGCATCAGAGCACAAGTGACATGTGTCTTTGGCCCGCGAAGCCAATCAAAGCGCAGCGCCAGTAATAAGAGCAAGCCCGACAAATCCAAGCCTGAGCCTGAGCCTCCACAGAAGAGTTCACCGCCTGTCTGCCCATCGTCTCTTGCTGGGATGAACCTAGCTTCGCCTGGGGCTTGGACCCCGTGGATCGACGAGCTTGCGTGTCAGGAAACTGAGGAGCCGCTTGCGATTGACATCAGCACGGCTGGTGACGGTTCAAGTCTGAGCGATGGTGATTTCTGGGCGGATCTGGGGATGAGTCAAGGGTTAAATATGCTAGACCTTGCGCCGTCTAGTATCCCGACAAATACTTATCACGCGCAGTACCCGTCTGCTTTTGATCACATTGCTCCGTCTGTGGCTGAGGCAGGGCACTTGATGGACATATCGGAGTCTTCGGAGCACACTCCACCACATGCCATTGTGCAACTCTCAAATCTTGTGAGAAAGGTCCACGAGACCTCAAAATCGCTAGAGGAGTCTCCGTGGTCCAATGTCCCCGACACGAAACAGCTGCAAAACTACCCAATCGGCCGCGTGTTAAGCCTATCTCAGGACTTCTGCGCCATCCTCAGCTATATCTGGGGCAAAAGCTCCGTCTCCTCCGACGACCATTCGTCAGGAAACGGAAGTTCTCCAACCCCGTCGGCAGAGATGCTCGACTACGCCGAAGTGCTATCATCTATCAAGATGAACGGTTCCCCCAGGCCCCCTTCGGTCGACATGCCGACGATGCTGCTCGTTCTAAGCTGCTACACATCCCTCATCAAGCTGTACAGTCTGGTATTTGCCCACTTCGAGAACCACCTCTCTCATCTCCCTGAAGCCCCGTCTCCGTACCCTTCCCAGACAGCGCTGGCCTCTCATAGGTGGGGCTTGCAGCTCGGAGAACTGCCCTCCGCGGACGAGACATGCACCAAGATTTGCACGGCCGTCCAGGTTCTCCTTGATACGTTCCAGTCCGTGGAAGACGCCGTTGGTCTTCCGCGTTCGATCAGCGTGGTGAAGCAGAGGGCATGTGATGTTGACGGGATGGACTTTAGTGCTGAGCTAGGTAGGACCTCGCTTTGGACTGATTGTATGATCCATTTTGTCTTTCGGTCGACTGTGATCATGGCTGATACTGAGGAGTGTCAGGAGATGAGAGAATTGTCGATCAAGGTTAGATCGCTCAAGGCGTTGATAAGGGAAAAGATGAATCTTTAACAATACATCGGGAATCATACAGTAACTGTAGAAGGGCTTTCATAGAGTAGATATCCAGTATGCATATTACAGACTCTGAATTCACGCAATTTCACTAGGGACTGCTGACGAAATTCATTATTGTGAGTCATTGGCAGTTACTATGTTTCAGCCCTCTCGCTTTGATGATACATTCAAAGCACCTCAACATCTCAACATTACTTTTTGCTTCATTGTACGCTCTCGCGATCCATAAAATCAAAGCCTTGGGCACATGTTGATCTTGTACAGGTACCAGCAAGGAACTCACATATTGCTCGATACTGATCTGCACGAATGACCTTGTAGTTACCAATATCCATCCTGCTGCCATACGAATAAAAATGTAATTCAAGCCTTTTCACTAGGTAGGACATATATGAAGAGTTACTCAATTCGGTATCCATATTCTTTCTTGTGTATCTATAAACAAGGAGCTGTCTTCTCATCGTAATCCAAGTAGCTACCTATCAAGGAATCATGCTCTTCACATGAACCACTGCAACCCAACCGTTTTAACTGAATGCGGAACTGGCGGTTCTGGCCCAGCCATCCTAACAGCGACTCAATAACAAGAGGATAGCTTATCTATTTCTTCTGTGAAACTGTCTATATTATCCTCTCCTCATGCTAAACCTCAGCCTTGTCTAGATCTGACGTCCCAAGGCTGAATGGCCGCAGGAGGCTTATCGTCACTGCCGGCTCACTCACATCGTTAGTCTCTCAACATCCGCACCCGCTCCCTACTCTCGGAGAATTGATGACGGGTAGGCTTGCGTCACCAAGGCGGATGTTGCCACTGCCAAGAACACGCCCTCCAACTGCACTGGATTTTCGGCCTCCGAACCACGTCTGACATACATACAGCCCTACTTAAGTCACCGAAAAAGCCCGATTGGCACATCGATTCGACTCTCGTCGCTGTTACATGAGTCAAGGGACAGAGAAGCTCTATGCCCGTGAGGTTGGACTTTTTTATGTTCTAGGACTCGAGTGCTTATGATGTTGGGGGAAAGTGTAGACGTCTAATGATATGAAAAGAAATAGAGCTGTCATGATAAATCTAGAGCTATCTCGTGCAATTCAAGTCTCCATTTGAAATACTAGTTTCTTCCCAGAAATCCTCTTCTCCCTGATATCCTCAATACCGTGAAGAACCTCGGGGAGTCCTCCTTGCTTCACAACAATCGGATGAGGTCTTATCAAACCATTATCAAGCAATTTCCTCAGAACAGCCGTCCAGTAAACACCGAATTCCCCCATCTCAGCACTAGCAGGTCTCCAATGAGGCTCCGGCCAGCGAATCTCCTTACCCAGCATCTGCGGCCCCATGATCCAGTCTGGCTTGACAACCTTGCGCGTTCGCGCTACAGCTTCAGAGTAAGGCTCCAGGGCAGTGTATTTACCGCCAGCGCGACCAATGGCCTGGTAGCAGAACTGCATGCTCGACGTGGTGGAGATGCAGTCTAGCGCATACTTGATCTTGTTCTTGGTATGCTTTCTGATATCTGCGGTGCAGTTGGGGTCTTGGTAGTCAAAGACAGCACTGGCGCCGTATGACTTGACTAGGTCAAAGTTGCGGGGCGAGCATGTTGCGATGGGTTCAAAGCCTGCTAGTTTAACGAGCTGGACTGCGGCAGTGCCCGTGGCTGATGAACCGCCATATACCAAGACAGGTATGGGCTCAGCGGTCGGTTCAAGTGGATTGCCGGGTAAAGCCAAACTCTTGAATAAGGCCAGACCAGTAGTCATGAAGCTAATGCCCAGAGAGGCACCCTCCTCAAAGCTGAGATGAGGCGGAATCTTGAGCAGAATCCACTCCACGGAGGCTGTGTACT